CCTTCACGGACACATTGATAGATGACAGTGTGCCAATCCAGCGCCACCAGAAATGGTTACTTCACCAGGGAGCTCATCTCATCTTCTGCCGTTGGCCTTCCACCCTACCTTCTTCCATCTTTTCCACAGGACCTTGTGACATGCCTCACCTCACCTGTGTCCACATAGAAGGTAACTCATTTTCGTGAGAAATGAGGTTCTTTGGGTCCGACTTATTTTTTATAAAGCCACACTGGTTTGCAATGAGCATTACATTCTTTTAAACAGAGTTGGGGAGGACGGAAAATTTTGAAGGAGGGAAAGCCCAAGCAAGTAGATAGATATTTGCATCTGTCAACTTTTCCCATCACACACACACACAAAAAAGGCCGGGTGTGGTGGTTCACACCTGTAATCCCAGCACTTTGGGAGGCCGAGGCGAGCGGATCACAGGATCAGGACATCTAGACTATCCTGGCTAACATGGCAAAATCCCATCTCTACTAAAAATATAAAAAATTAGCCTGGCTTGGTGGCATGTGCCTGTTGTCCCAGCTACCCAGGAGGCTGAGGCAGGAGAATCTTTTGAATCTGGGAGGCGGAGGTTGCAGTGAGCCAAGATCGCACCACTGTACTCAAGCCTGTGCAACAGAGCAAGACTCCGTCTCTAAATAAATAAACAAATGGTTTCCTCTTCCAATATGTAGGTAAAAAGACATGTTACTTTAACTTTACCCCTTACAAATGGTATGTTTACCTATCAGCTGGGACTCTTCTAGTTACAAAGGAAACCTAACTCAATCTAGAATGAGCTGGGAAAAGTGAATTTGTGTATCTCACATAACTGGGAGATCCAAGGGTGGATGTGGTTTTAACCAGAACTGGATCTGAGTGTTTGTAGGAAATATTCAAATACGAACAGTTAACAGTGCATACCAGCCAATCAGAACAGTCCATGCCAGTGACATCAGCCCTGCATGTGCCATCAGGATGGGGCTATCAGGAATCTCTCTCCCTCTTGACTGCCTTCCTCATTGTCAGCGTTACTCTCAAAGAGGCTTTGCTCTGGTTGCAAAAGGTCAGTAGTAGCTCTGGGTCTAACAGCTCTCCAACTCTGCATCCCAGAGAGATGCCTGTCCAGTATTCTCCAAAATTCCTAGGCTCACACTCACTCGTTCAGAGTGGATCTCTAGCCCAGCCTACACCCATCGCTGGCCACTGGTCCCATCCAAAACCCTGGGGCAGTGAGGGGAGGGGTGTCTGCCCTAAGCCAAGTCAGCTGGTCTTACAGGAAGAAGAGAAAATCAGCGCCACAGAAGCCACAACAATCCCATCCATTGCAAATCACACAATAGTAAATGGCACTTTGAACCCTTTCCATAGTTTCTAGAAATGCAGAGAGGATCACATTGCTTTAGTGTCTTGCCCCAAGTGCTGTTAATATCCCTGTCCCTAAAAGATTGATTTTTATTATTGGTAGAAATGCTTAACAGAAGTGAAATCTATACTCTCAGTCATAGATAGCTGGCATAAAAATTAAATAAAACACTATGAAGCATACTTCCAAAGTGACTGCATACCTAGCTATGCTGCCCCAGTGAGCTCGAGTATGCTTTATATGTTTTCATGAGGGTATTTGGTAAGCATGGGGGAAACTGTTTCCCAGGGCCCCACCACAGAATGTTCTGCAAACATTTGGTAAGCAACCGTGTGATGCTTTCTCCCTCTGTAACTAACGCTGGGGACTCTGACCTACTGACTTGGACTCTCCGCTAACAGTAGAAGGTAGTTTCAGAACCTTCAAAACATTGTCCATAGAGACAGCAACGTATGACTGTCACAAGATTGACTCAGGAACTGTTGCATATTCATGAGTTAAATAGGCAAAATGTCTGACATCCTGGCATCTGTGGATGTGTTTGTTTTACATTTGGTAGCTTTTCTATAGAAGACAGAAATGGGAAATGCCTTCTTAATCTGCTAGGAGGAGAGCGTTCTGATGATACTCATCTATCTTCAATGAGAATAGGTCCTTATCTTTAATTCCTAATTAAAGTTTTTGCCAACTACCTTTATCTCTTTCCCTTGTGATTTTAAGAAAAAGGAAAAGCCTTGAGTGTGTTGCTTCTGCCCATCTGTTTCTTTACATCCTGTGTGATCTCAGGTACTTGCTATTTGCTGAGCAAGGACTTTCCAGCGAGGATTGAATAAAGCTGTAGCTAGGTTTGAGAGTGAGAGTTTTACTGCTATCATTTACAGTATTCTTCATTCATGCATGCATGCCTTTGCTCGTAAATACCCCCACCTCATTCCACAAAAGATATGAAATAGAGCTTTATTGCTATGAATTCACGCTGGCATAAATATGAAGCTCTGTGTAATAATCACTTGGACTATTCCCATACAGAGTGCAGTTACTTACGGCCAACGCCAAGTCTATTTTCCCATCAGAGGCTAACTTTCCCCTTTATTTGATCGGGGTTTGGATAATGCTTCATTCGCAGCTGTTTTTCGCTTGCAAAAACCCATCTCCTTTGTCGTTGCTGACCTTACCCTAACAGGTGGTGCCAGGATTTCCTGCAGGTGGTTGTTTGTTTTAGCATTTTGGAGTATTTATACTGGCTGCTGTAAGGGAGCCAGGAGCCTGGGGCTTGTAAGTACCAGGTCTGGGTAAGTCTCCTTCTGGGTGGCGGCAGCAGCAGCAGCATTACTAAAATGCATTTCTGAATACTACCCTGTGTCTGAAATGATGTTTTTATCCATTAGAGTTGGGTGCAAGCAACAGAAATTAATTCCGAAGAATAAATGTGAAAAACAGTGTCTTGGAGGGCAGTGTGTGGCTCACAGGCAGGCAGGTCCCTCAGGGGAACCCTGGGTGGCAGTTCGATGCTCAATGCCAACTGTCAGCCCAGGCTAGGAGTCAGATTGGGGAGTGATTATGATGCCTTGGCGTGGGTTAGGGCCCACTTCCTAGCCAAGGGATAGTCAACCTTGACAACAGGCTGTGACAGGCGTGGAGTTGTAGCAATTAAGGTGTTTTCACGGAAATGAAGGAAGAAGAAATGCCTTCCTGGGGGGGATGGGGAAACAACAGCTGTCCACTAGCCTCCCCTTTTGCAGTAATTTTCTTTCCACATTTGATGACTGTTCTATCAGATATTGTTGAAATCTTTCCCCAGGATATGCAATTTACCTCTAATATCATCTTTTTGATACGTCTTCCACTTTGCTGAGTTCACGTTGTTTTCCTTAAAGCTAGGAAAACTTAGACTTGCTCAGTTTTATTCTATTTTTTTTTTACTTTGTTTTTCAGAGCAGTTGTGGGTTCACAGCAAAATTGAGCAGAAGGTAGAGAGAGTTTCCACATGTCTCCTGCCCCCACGCATTCACAGCCTCTCCCATAATCAATATTCCCCACCCAACTGGTACCTTTATTACAACCAATGAACCTACATTGACATGTCATGATCACCCAGAGACCACAGTGCAAATTAGGGTTCCCTTCTGGTATTGGCCATCCTGTAGGTTTGGGCAAATGTATAACAGCATGCATCTACCACTGTAATACCGAAAGAATAGCTTGAACCTTAAATATCCTTACATATCCCATGTGCTCCACCCCTACATCCGTCCTTCCCTCCAACCCTTGGCAATCATTAATCCCCATTCTGCTGCACCCCTCATTGGCCTCTTTTGTGCGTGTGTGTGTGTGTGTGTGTGTGTGTGTGTCTTGAGAGGGAGTCTCACTCTATTACCCAATCTGGAGTGCAGTGGTGTGATCTCAGCTTACTGCAGCCTCTGCCTTCTGAGCTCAAGCAATTCTCCTGCCTCGGCCTCCAGAGTAGCTGGGACTACAGGTGCATGCCACCACCTGCCAAATTTTTGTATTTTTAGTAGAGACAGGGTTTCACTATGTTGGCCAGGCTGGTCTCAAACTCCTGACTGCATAATCTGCCCGCCTCAGCCTCCCAAAGCGCTGGGATTATAGGTGTGAGCCACCACACCCGGTCCGGCCTCTTTTGATCATTTACTTGGGTAAATGCAGTCTTTCAGTCCTGCTCATTCTGTCCAAAATCAAAAACTCTTTTGAAATCTCTGAATTTTTCACATCAACATCATTGCCTATAAAAGTCTCTAAGGCCCTCCTTGAAATGGGGTACCAGCCATTTAAAAAAATGAGAAGGTTGGACCCCATGCCTCACGCCTGTAATCCCAACACTTTGGGAGGCCAAGGCAGGTGGATCACTTGAGGTCAGAAGTTCAAGATCAGCCTGGCCAACATGATGAAATCCCATCTCTACTAAAACTATAAAAATTAACCAGGAGTAGTGGCATACACCTGTAGTCCCAGCTACTTGGGAGGCTGAGGCAGGAGAGTCGCTTGAACTCAGGAGACGGAGGTTGTAGTGGGCTGAGCTGGCGCCACTGCACTCCAGCCTGGGCAACAGAGCCAAATACTGTCTCCAAACAAACAAACAAAAAAAACGTAGAGCCGAATGAAGACTTGTAGTGATTGCTTTACTATAATACCCTAAGCTACCCCGACTTCTTCCCCACTTTTTGTATGTATATATATTTTCCATCTTCTCCCGTTGGGTTTGGTGGGAAGACCGGTCTGAACTGCCTGGTTCACCACACATGAAAGCCCCTGTCTGCACTTTCTTCTGTCTTGGGAAATAGACTCAGGGCAGCTGAGAAACAGACCCAGGCCACCCTGCCGAAGGACTACTCCATCACATCAGGAAGCACCAGACAATGACATGAAGTGGGCACCGACTGTGAGCCAAGGGCTGAGTCTTGGCGTCTGTTTTCCCCTTTAATGATCTCGGGGACACCGTGAGCTCCTTTCACCTCTCGGTGCCTCAATTTCCTTACCTGTAAGTGGCAACAATAATTCCTTCCTCCGGGACTATTGTGAGAGTTTGAGAGCCAGTGTGGAGGAAAGCAGGCCAATTAATCAGCCCCCCTGCATGCAAAGCTTGTTATTTCTCCGTGACAGAGGCAGCTCTTTAAAATCTTACCCTGCACGTTCCGCAGGACACCTTTCTCTGGATTTTTCATTCACGCAAACCCCTTTCAGTTCCTACTGCGCTCTGCATGCCTCTCCCGTTGTTGAGAGGCGCAGGAAAACCCACTGGAACTAATTCACCACTCTGGCTTGATGAAGTCACTTCCTGCTGGTCTGGGCATTGGCCTCTAGAACAATCAACCACTGTCTGGTGGGAATTCTGTTAACATAACTGTCTTACTTTGGATTGGGACAAATATGGGAGAAAATCCCATAAAATACCAGCAGGGAAGTGGAAAGTGGGACAGGAGGGGAACACAGCCCACACACTCTGCATTGTCCAACCAGCCACCATTATGTGTGCAGGAGCTGAATCCCAGAAGAACACACTCCTGGCCTTTCTCCATCCGAGTGATACCTGTAGGCTGGGGGAGGTCCCCAGACGCTGGTGAGACCTTGCCCCCATTCAGTGTCCAGGCTCCTGACTGTAAGAAGAAATTCAAGAATGAGTCAGAAAATAGTAAAAGTACGGTGATGTATTGCAAAATGAAAAGGACACATCCAAGAAATGGGAGTGTAAGCATTTTCAAGAGAGAAGGAATCCCTCTCAAGAGGGATTGGGGTTGCTACCTCTATGCATTTCTTGAACCAAGGAGTGGAATATTCACAAACATTCCTGAAAAAAGGTGGAGATTTCTGAGAACTGAGGTGTTATTCATTTTCGCACCAAATATAGGTGCTCCTGGAACTGTTGTGCTTCCGGTGGGTGTGTGATTTAGTAGGTTAATGAGTATGTAACTTACTAAAGGTCCTAGGGAAAACCTAGGTCAAATCCAGCGCCACGTTGGGTCCAGTTGGTCTTAGCCAGCTTGGCCCACACCCTGGTTTTTCAGGGTCTTAGCCCCTAGTTTCTGCAGCTATTTCAACATTTTCCTCTTCCTACTCATGTGAAACTACTGACTGGAACTTTCTATTCTTCTGGGACCACCCTGTATTCTTCCTGTATCATGGTGAACAAGCAAGCTGGGGAATAAATACCCCAGTTACTGGGTGAGGGCTGCACCTGAAAGAGGAACTAATTCCTCATCACATCCAGCCTGCTGCACAGATGAGCAAAGGCTTTGGCTGTTGGTGCAAGTTATCCAGCAAAGGAATGCAGGTGCTGACAGGTGCATTTGGCATGAAGTGCACTGTAGGGGGATGGCTTCCAGGGCACCCTCAATGCCTCTAAAAACCATTCACTCCTTAAAACCAGCTCATTCATCTCCTGGGGCTTCTGGCTCTCTTTCAGACAAGTTATTGCAGAGAGTCAAGTAGCCACGTGGAATTGCACTGAGCAAGCACATTTGACAATGACATATTGATTCCAGAATGTGTCAAGCTTTGTTCTCAGAATATGACCAGATCCCCACAATGTCTGTCCCCTGTTGAGGGACCACTGCATACAAGACCCTATGCGAGGTATGTTAAGTCCATTACCTCATTCAGCCATTCCAGCAGCCCTGAGAGGTAGCCGCCACTATCTCAAGTTTCTGGACTAGGAGAGGGAGATATGGGGAGGTTATGCCACACTCCATGTCACTCACCCACAGCTGACTCACTACATGGTGGACACAGGCTCCATACCCTGAATGTGTGTGTCATGGTCAAGCCCCAGGTCTTTTCCAGCACCACATTTTCAAGCACAACAGCTGGATTAGGTAAGTGCTTACCTATGAGGGTGTGTTAGGAGGATATCCACTGAGTGCTTCCTGCATACACGTGCAGTTATACACGCCTCACATGTAAGAATTTAAACCCCCACGACGATGCTAGGAGGTGTGCACTGTTATTTCCACCATAAGGTGAGGAGGCATATGGTGAAGTTCAGTGCCATGTCCTCAGATGCCAAGTATACCAGACGCAAGTCCCGAAGTCCCTGAGTACCAGTCCTGTTCCATCTTTATAACATGCAGCCGCTGTGGAATACACTGACATCAGCTTCAGTTGGTTCCACTCACTGTGGGGGAGAATTTCCCTGGACCAGTGCCTGGCATCTGCCCAGGAGGCACTGCAGCACAGGGGACAGGGAGGTCAGACTCCGCTGGAATCTACATCTCCCTGCACACAGTGAGGCCTTGCATGGCCTACTGCACATCACTGAGTCTGTTTCCTCATATTCAAAATAGAGCCAAGCTTGTCTTTCTGGCTGGTTGGTGAAGATGGTTGGTGAAGATGGCACTAAATGAGAAGGGACCAGAGTCCCAGGCGCCAAATGGTTGCTGCTGCTGAGTTTGGGGCAGGAGTGCTGGTGGTCATCTGAGTGCCAGCTCTGCCTCACCCTGATCCAGTACATACATACATGCACAGACACACATGTTCACACACACAGGTACACACATATATGCCATGCACATACATGTGTATACACACATGCACACACCACGCACACACATTCACACATGTGCAGGCACACACACTCCATTAAACTTTGTAGAGTTCAACAATATTACACTCAAGTCAGTATTTATTGAGCACCTATTGCACACCAGCATTATGCCAAGCACCAGAGACGAGGGCAAGTTGACTGTGATGGCTCACGTCCATAATCCAGCACTTTGGGAGGCCAAGGCAGGAAGATTCCTTGAGCCTAGGAGTTTGAGGGGAGCCTGAGCAACATAATGAGATCCCACCTCTATATAAAACAACAACAACAACAAAAAGACACAAGGGGAGCCCAGAAATGAAACAGCCAGTGGAGGCATACCACCTCATTTTCACAGGAAGCAGCAAAGACAGGCTGCCAGACACCTTTGCCACGCTCCACTGGCTTCCGCCCTCTGAGAAAAGTGGCAGTCTGACTCATGAGAGCGGGAAATGAACTTGGTGCAATCCCAAACCCAGGACCAGTACATCCTGGAAGATAAACCCCATGGGGCCTTGTGACTACTGCCTCTTCTTTCTAGCAAGGTCCTGGCATAATTTTCTCTCTGCCACAGGCTTTATGAAGTGGGTTATAACTGTGCCTGGGATAAACTGGGTCCAACAGAGCATTCCTAGGTGTGGAAGGCATCAGGCACTCCTGCCACTGGCAGGTTTTATGTATGTACCTGTATCATCAATAATATAGTGTTTTCGTATCATCAGAACTCCGCGCACTGTTTCTGGCCAGCATTGTTGTTTGATGTAGACTGATAAGAGGGGTCAGTGATGAGAACCTGGCACACTCAAACTCTGCTAGGGTCGGGTAGCTGCCCTCCTTCAAGGCTTGACCAAAGTTACCTGAAAGTCACCACCAGTGGCCATCCAGCACAGCTTAATTGAGGGTCGGCAGCCCATCTGCGGTGACACCTGCCTGTGTCCTCCAAAACTCGGTGGATTGGAGAACTGAGTCACAATGAATCTTGTTACCCACACCCAGAGTCCTCAAGAACTCACGTTGTTTGCATTCCCAGCCACAGAGAAGTTGTCTTCTCTTGATCTTTGTAGCAATTAAATGTCTTTTAGAGGGAAGAGATTTGTTGTTTAAAAATATTTTTTAATAATAGCTTGAGTTTGCTCTTGTAAGGCTGCGCCTGGGTCTGAGACCCCAGAGGAGCGGTACGCTGCCTTGCAGATTACTCCACAGTGGGCAAGACGGGTATGTTTTCCTCTGGGGAGAGTTGCTGAACACCACCTGTCTGAGTAAGTGCCTCTTCGTGGCTGTCTGGTCATTATGTATACCACATGGTCCTGCCCCTGAGTAGCTTGTGTCCTCCTGGGAGCTGTTAAGAAATCCAAACCAGCAAACAACAGTTTTTACAAAAGCGTCTGGCATTAACCACATGGTGAGTGGTCCAGATAGGAATGCTGTAGAAGCTCAAGGGAGGAAGAGACTCCAGGGGCTCAAGAGGTTTAGCAGGGGTAGCAGGACAAGACAGAGTTTGAATGGGACCATTGCAGCTAAGTGGAATAAGGAAAAGCTGATTGTTCAAGAAGGTCAACGATCTTGCACGTATCTAGGGACTGTGCGGAAACTCATTTTGCTAGAGTCGAGAGATTGGATGAGGAAGTGCAGACTGCACTCTGGAGCCAAGCTCAATAAACTGGACTTCATTCTGAACTGGGAGTGGAGGGGTTGCATGGGCAGAAGAGCACTGTGGGGGGATCCAGGGGAGAGTGGAGCTCTGGAGGCTGTTAGGAAGCCAGGTTCCCATCCAGGGAAGAAAGAGAAGGACTCAGAGTGGGGAGGAGGAGTGTGCCGCCGTGAGAGGTCCGCACAGTATTCAAATTCCAACTTTGCCGCGGGCTGATTAAGTGAACCAGTGCTGGCTATACAATCTCTCTGAGCCTGGCTTTTCTCATCCCTGAAATGGCAATAATAATCCCAGCCTCAAACAATGATAGTTAAAATTGTATGAAATATCATGTATGTAGTGCCAGCTACATACATAGTGTCCAACCCCACGTAGGGGGTCCCTGTTCTTCGTAGGGAGGTGGTGTAGCAGTGTTGTCCTACAGCCAGTTCATAGCAGTTTGCAGGAGCCAGTTGTAACCATTTCTTCCCAGCTCTGCGTTCAGTGACATCGTGAGAGTAACTTGAAATTGGCCACAGTGGAAGTACTTCCATCAATGGAATTAGGCAAACACTATTAATTCAGGCTTTCCCCACCTCCAGAGAATCAGATGTTAAACATTTGCCCATGTACTTCTGGCAAAGAAAAGGAAAAGAGCCAGAGGTGGTGACATCAAATGAGAGAAGACTAACCTTGCAAACCCAAGCCACCTGCGCTGATGTGTTCTGTTGTCTGTCCCATACCTTCGCAAGGCGTTTTGTCTTGGTTTGTCCAACAGGATTGCCACATCTTATTCAGGTTCCAGTGCTGAGCTATTTGGAAACCAGGGTGGGGGTGGACTTCAGTGTCATCTTTTTATAAAAGTTCACTGGGGCTGGAAGCAGTGGGTCGTGCCTGTAATCCCAGCACTTTGGGAGGCCGAGGTGGGTGGATCACGAGGTCAAGAGATTGAGACCATCCTGGTCAACACGGCGAAACCCCATCTCTACTAAAAATACAAAAAATTAGCTGGGCATGGTGGCACGTGCCTGTAACCTCAACTACTCAGGAGGCTGAGGCAGGAGAATTGCCTGAACCCAGGGGGCGGAGATTGTGGTGAGCTGA